GACCCTATCTCAAAAAGATAGATGAATTCAGTTCAATTCAATTCAATTAAGAACACTTGTGCTACAAAGGATCCCGTCAAGAAATTAAATATTTGCTATGGAGCCTGAGTTTAAAATGCTAAAGGACTCAGAACTCAATGATTAAGAACAAACAAATTCTAATTGTATTATTTTCTTCTTTGTGTGTGTGTGTGTGTGTGTGTGTGTGTGTGTGTGTGGTGCACTAGTGTATATACAAATTTACCCATGTGGAGGTACACTGTGTGTGTGTACGTGTGGAGACCCCAGCTGATAATCAGGAAGTCTTCTACCCTATTTTTTTTTTTAAAGATTTATTTATTTATTTATTTACTATCTGTATAGTGTTCTGTCTGTCTGTATGTTTACAGGCCAGGAGATGGCACCAGATCTCATTACAGATGGCTGTGAGCCACCATGTGGTTGCTGGGAATTGAACTCAGGACCACTGGAAGAGCAGTCAGTGCTCTTAACCTCTGAGCCATCGCTCCAGCCCCTTCTACCCTATTTTTTGAGGCAAGGTCTCTCAGTCAAAGACCTTCCACCAAACACAAAGCTTCCAGGAAGGGCTAAGTGTGGCTAGCCATCTTGATCTAGGTGTCCTGAGACTGAGACTGCAGCTGGGCTACCACACTCTCTCAGGGTTCACATGTGTTCTAGGGCTCGAGACTCCAGCCCTCTTGTTTGCACTCCAAGCACTTGAACTACTGAGTCATCCCCGCAGCCCCAGTTTCCTTCCTTCCTTCCTTTCTTTTTTAATTGAGACGTCTCATGTAGCCCAAGCTAGACCTGGACTTGCTACATAGTCAATGATAACCTTGAATTCCCTTCTTCTATTTATTACATTTATTTAGTATATGTGAGGGAGCACCGTGCAATGGCGGCCCTCAGAGCACAAGTGAGGGGCCTGATTCTCTCCTCCCATCATGTGGGGCTGGGGATTGAACTCAGGCCAACAGGCTCAGTAGCCTTTACCTGCCTCACTGTCTTGCACACGCAACCTTCAACTCCCGACCTTCCTGCCTCGACCTCCTGAGTGCGGAGATTACTGCCATGTATCATGTGCCTGCCGTATGACATGCTGAGGACTGAACACAGCATCTTGAGCATGGCAGGCAGATAGACCGCTGTTTGCCAACAAGTGAGCTGAGGACCTGAATAGACGCTTCTCCAGAGACATCCCAGTGATGGGTGAGACTGTCAGCATCATTAGTCAACCGGGGAATGCGAACACGAGCCCCAGAGTGATAGCTTGTCACGTGCATTACGATTGCTTAATAAAAGTCGGCAAGCTTGGGGACAAATTAGAGTCCCACACATTGCTGGTAGGAATGTGAAAATGGGGAGCTGCTTCAGAAAACAGTTGAACAGTTCTTTAGAAAGTTACACATGGGGACCAGAGAGACATCTCAACAGTTAAGAGGGCTTCTTGTGCCAGGCACAATGGCATAGGTCTTTAAACTCAGCGCTAGAGAGGTGGCAGCAGGCAGATCTCTGTGGTTTGGAGGCTAACCTGCTCTACCCAGTGAGTTCCAGGACAGCCAGGGATGCACAGGGAGACCTGTTGTGGGGTATTTTGATTGTGTTCTGACAATAAAGGTTCCTTGGAGTCAGAGGGTGGAGCTAGCCACTAGCGGACCAAAATTAACCACAGAAGTTTTGAAACACCGAGGCTAGAAGTAGTAAGGCAGGCCGAAAGGGGATACGGCTCTCTGTTTGGAGGAAGGAACGGAGCAGGTAGGGAAGGCTGGTGGCTTCTCTGCTCCTCTGATCTTTCAGGCTCCTACCCCAATATCTGACTTCCAAATTTTTATTGATAAAAAAATAATTAGAATAATTAGAATATCACTTCACTGGTGCCCAATGTAGGGCTCGAACCCATGACCATGAGATTAAGAGTCTCATGCTCTATCGACTGAGATAACTTGTAACTGTAATTCTTACCTAATAACTGTTCTGTTATATGCATAGCTTTACTATGTTTAAAAAGAACTTTTTTAATTAGACAAAAAGGAGGAAATGCTGTGAAATAATCCTTCTGTACACTGTGAAGATGTATTACTCTTATTGGTTAATAAAAAAGCTGACAGGCTAGTAGTCAGACAGAAAGTATAGGTGAGACAGTCAGATACAGAGGACTCTGGGAGAAGGAAGGACAGAATCAAGAGATGCCAGCCGGCCTGAGGGAGCAGGACATATAGAAAATGAGGTAACAAGCCATGAGCCACCTGGTAAAGCATAAATAAGAAACATGCATTAATTTAAGTGTAAGAGTTAGCTAGTATTAAGCCTGAGCTATTGGCCAAGCATTTATACATAATATTAAGCCTCTGGGTGTTAATTTGGAAGCCATTCCTGGGACAGGAAAACTCCACCTACAGAAACCATCTTGAGAAAACCAAAACAAAGAGTGCTTCTTGCTTGTGCAGAGGACCCAAATTCAGTTCCCAGCACCAGCATCAAGTGGTTCACAACTAGACTTTCAGGTCTTGTCAGGTATGTAGTCACATGGCATGCATTCATACAGACACACATGTAGACATAGAGACAAATCTTTTTTTTATAGTTAAACATGTGGGGGCTGGAGAAATGGCTCATTGTTAACAGCACTGGCTGCTCTTGCAGAGGACACAGGTTCAATTCCCAGCACCCACATGAAAACTCACAACTGTCTATAACTCACATTCTAGAGTCTATAATTGTCTATAACACCCTTTTCTGGCATCTGCAGGCACTGCCACACGTGGGGCACACACATATATGCAGGTAAACACTCGTACACATAACATAAATTTTTATAACAAATGTTCCAAAGCTGTGACAGTTATACATACAATGTGAAAATGTTTAAAAAAAAAAAAGACTCAGTGGGACTGTATGATTCAAAAATTATAACAATAAAGATGAAAAGCAAAGATAGGGGGAGTAAGATGAAAACAGCCCACCCCTTACCCTGTTCCTCTCATAGCTAAGAATCACGGGGTACCCGTGTGCCGGGATTCGGGGTGCTGAGTTAACGGAGCACAGACAAATGGAGGGAAGGAGACAAAAGGCTTTGTTCTCTGCTTCCAGGAAGGTGGGGATAGATGAAGTCACCAGAGTTGCAGGGGCCTCTGGGATGTGAAGGGGTGCAAAGGGCTGGGAATGTAGGGTGAGACACTGGCTACCGGAAGCCTCCAGGAGCCCCCAGGTTTCACTACCAGAGGGAGCAAGTGGCATACGTAGCCTCACATACACCCTCAGGGGTGCTGCACCTCTGCCCTCCACAGAGGCTGGCAGTGGAAGGGTGCAGAGTGGACCCAGGGGCACTCAGGTGGTAGGAAAGTCATCTGGGTCATCTGACCTTGGCGGGTGGTTCTGACCTTGGCAAGAGGCTGGTTGTTGCCCCAGAACCTCCTCACCACCTTGTGGTGCTTCACACGTGGCCCAAGTTCCTTGTCCACAGCCAGGGGGTCTCGAGAGGCCAGCATATAGTCCTGACGGATATCCGGGAGTGACAGCTTGAAGCGACCCAAGGCTCTCATCAGAGTGGCCCATGGCAACTTGCTGGGTCGCACAACAGGGAGGGACAACAAGCTGTCCCTGTCCTCGTTTGAACCCCTCCTGCCCTCACCGGAACCCCGCCTGCTCTCGTTAGAGCCCCTCCTGCTATCGACCGAAACCCTCCTATCGAATGAAACCCTTCTGCTATCCACTGAACCCCTCCTGTCCTCGCCAAAACTCCACTTCTTGGACCCCGTGTATCCCCTCCGTGGAAAACTCCTCCTGGCCTCGCCAGAATCCTTCTGGGCTTCTCCAGGACTCTTCTGGGCCTCATCAGGGTCTTTTTTCATCTCAATAGATTTCTTCCTGTTTCTAGAACCCTTTCTAGTTTCGGCTGAACCCCTCCAGTTATCTGCAGAACCTTTCCTGGCGCCCTCCGAGGTTTTCCGGGGGGCTGGTGGTGAGGCCATCTTGGAGCCGGTCACAGGCACAGCGGGGAACGGTGGCACCGCGTGCTCACACTCGCGCTGAGCCCTTCGGATTCACGTGCTGCATCGGGTTCTGCCATTTACCTGCCCCGTTCCTGACTCAGGCAGGACTGCTCCTTTCCAGGCTAGCCTGGGCTACATAGTAGCAAGACCCAATCTCAATAGAGAAAAGGGAGGGAAAGCCAGGAGGAAAGTGGGGGCGGGGGGCGGGAATAGAGGATGCCTCCCAATGCAGAGTACCCCTAAAAAATGATCTCTGGTCACATGAGGAAGGAGACTGAAGGTCAAAACCAGACACCTTACCCTTGTGCCCTCCTGGAGCCTGGCTTCCAGTCGCAGGTCAATCTCTGTCCTTCGCCTGTGTAGGAACCCACAACACACCCACTTTGTGTCTGGTAGTGACTAGCAAATGGTTCATAAGCTATGACAGAATGACCTGCATGGAACAGGACACAGCTTCTGGGGACAGGGTCACACCATTGGTGTATTTACAAGGGAAAGATTCATTACAACTCCAATGACAACTACAGGCAGAGAGAGAGAGAGAGAAAGAGAGGGAGGGAGGGAGAGAGAGAGAGAGAGAGAGAGAGAGAGAGAGAGAGAGAGAGAGAGAGAGAATTCTCATGTGGTTAAACAAAGCATGGATTTTCTCACTTCTTTTGAAGTTGTTCTGTTTGATTGTGTAAAGTCCTCTGAACTTTGGTCCCCCCCCCCCCCCAACGTGCTGGGATGAAATCGGAGCCTGGTTCAGGGAAGTTCTACCACCCACGCCTCCCCAGGGCGACCAGGCTGTGCATACTGGCCTGCTCCGTCTGCCCACTGGGCTCCAGGCACAGCCCACCGGAAGGGCCCACGCCAAGGATAGCGAGCTCCTCCTCCACCCCTCCTCTTCAGAGACCCAGCTGCCCTCAGTGGACTCAGTCATTTTCACACCGAAACCAGAAGAAAAGCCTTCATGCTCCTCTCCTTTTTAGGACCTCCAGGAAATCCCAAGAGAAATCAAGAAGCACATAGAAAAAAAGCCACTTTAATTAAACTGTTCAGTCTTCTCGCCCCATAACAGGGACTGAAGTTAAAAATAGGAATCAATTTCTGCAACCTTTCAGGGCAGCCTGTGAAATGTCAAGGTTTAAAAACTTATTTTACAGCAAGATTTACATATAAATACATTTTGTACAATGTGTGAGCTGGGAAATCAAGGGACTTCAGCATGGAGGCAATTCCAGGCTGAGGCGGGCCAGGGCAGGACTCCATTACTGCCTCCTTAGCGGGAGACTCTTCAGTCTGCAGAAGGAAACAGGAGAGACAGAGGGGATGAGACACCACTGTGCCACACCCCAACCCTTAATACAGGCTTAGACTAGAGCCCAGGCTAGCCCCATATGCACAGAAATCCTCCTGTCTCAGCTCCCAAGTGCTGCGACTGCAAGTATGAATCACCACGGCTGGCTTTAATCCTTAGTTTATTTGTTCAGATTTATTATCATTTTTACATTATGTGTCTGTGTGTGTGTGTGTGTGTGTGTGTGTGCATGCACGTGAGTGCAGGTACTCAGAGTCCGTAGGAGGGCATCAGCTCCCCTAGAACTGGAGTTACAGGCAGCAATGAGCTTGCTCTGGGTGCTGGGCACAAGACTAGGACCCTCTGTAAGAGCAGAGCCGATGAGCTGCCTCTCTAGCTCTTCAGTCCTCAACTTCAAAATACAAGAAAGTAGGTGTTGGGCATGGTGGTGCACACCTATAGTCCCAGCACTCAGGGGCCAAGAAGATCAAAAGTTAGAGGTCAAAATGGGCTACATAGCAAGACCTTCTCCCAAAAAGAAAGAACGAAAGGAAGAGATGATCGCAAAGGAAGTCCATGGCCCCTTGACTCAACACAGAGTAGGGCTTCACTCTAGAGAGAAAACCAAGAACAGAACAGGCAACACTCTATTTTTCATTTACATAAAGGAACACTACAAAGTCAAGGACCAACCAGCTACCGTTGCCTAGATAACACGGAAGCATCTCCTAAAGCAGCCACTGAGAGCTTATATAACATAATCCCATTAGGACTTGAGGAGCTAGAGCCGTGTACAGCACTAAGGTGCATAAGATCCTGGATCTAGTCCTCAGCACTGTGGATACAACAAGGGGGAAAGCTCATACAACTAAATTGCACGTGGTTCCCTTAAATAAAACTAAACTTTAGTAGGAGCTGGGCATGCTGTGCCCACTGATAATCCTAGCACTCAGAGGACTGATGGAGAAGGCAGATCAAGGCCAGCCTGGGCTAAATAATAAGATACTATCTCTTTTGTTTGATTTGTTTTTTGAGACAGGGTTTCTCTGTGTTGCCTTGGCTGTCCTGGAACTCACTCTGTAGACCACCAGGCTGGCCTCAAACTCAGAGATCCGCCTACCTCTGCCTTCTGAATGTTGGGATTAATGGCGTGCTCCACCACGGCCTGGCTGAGATACTATTTTGGAAAAGGACAAAAGAAGAAGGCAGGCAAGATGGTTCCAAAGGTGAGGGCACCTGCCCCAAGCCTCATGACCTGAGTTTGATCTCTGGAACCCACAAGTAAGTCCCACTGTTGGCTGGTGGAACAGTGAGGGTCTTGGGTCATTGGAGGACTCTCTTTTGCCCTTAAAGCAGACAGTGGGACTCTAGCCTCTTCCTTTTCCTTTTCACTCTGCTCCACCTTCCCACCCCAGTTTGCTGTCTCATCTCAGGTCCAAATCAACAGGGACATCTGAGCATTAGCTGGCCCTTCCAAAACTGAGAGCCCAGGCTTCTTTTCTCACTACAAGTTGTTGCCTTGTATTTGTTACAGTGATTGAAAGCACAGGGGGGTCTAGAGCAATCTGAAGGCCGAAGACCAACAGCACACACCACATCCCTGCCCCTCTGGCTCTGTCCCTTGTGTTTGTCTCCTTGTTTTTTTATGTTTGTTTGGGTTTTTTTGTTGTTGTTGTTGTTGTTTTTTTTTTGTTTTTGAGAAACGATCTCCTGTAGCCCAGGTTGACCCCAAACTTGCTATGCAGGTCAGGATGACTTTGAACTCCTGATCCTCTTGCCTCCCCCTCTCAGGTGCTAGGAATACAGGCACTACCACACCCTTAGGTTTTACAGAAGTTTTACATGTCAAGCAGCACACAGCCACCTGCTTGGGTGTTTGGGTGTTCTGCCCGTGTGGCCTCTTGTGCAGGGGTGAGTCTCCCACAGCAGTGTCCTGCCCACGGCAGCCCTGCTCATCTGAAGATGTCAGGGATCACATCTGCAAACCCAGCATTCTACAGGGAAAAGCAGTCACCATGGCTTTCAGGCCAACCAGGGCGACATAGTGAATTCCAGGCTGGCTGAGCTTAGTGAGATCTGACTCAAACAAGGAGGGCAGGACGGGATGTGAGTGGAGCTAACTAATGGGTGTGTGGTTAATTTGCATTGTTAACATGACTGGATTTGGCATCACCTAGGAGACGCATCCTTGGCCTTCTGTGAGGGTAATCCTAGAGCTATTTAACTGGGAAGATTCACCCTGGATGTAGGTGGCAACATCCCAAGGGCTGGGGTCCCAGACTGAAGAAAAAGGGATAGAGGAGGAAGCTGGCTGAGTGCCAGCCTTCATCTCTCTGCTACCACATCCAGGCAGGTGTGATCAGCTGGTCATCCCACACGATGGACCACACCATCAGACTGTGAGCCAAAAAGCCCCCTCAATTTGCTCTCTGTCCCTTATTTTATCACAGCATAGAAAAGAGACAGAAAATAGCTGCCAAGGGGGCTCCCGACCATGGGGTTCACAAGTCTTTAGAACTGGTTTGTGGGAGGAATGTGTTAGGAGCTGCAAGATAGAGAAACCCTAGAAGACTGTAGTAGACCTTCACAGACCGTCTGGTGGGAGTGTGGAAGACCAGAATGCAGACAGGAAGGCAGGACTGCAGAGACCATGCATGAGCTTTCAGAGGGGAACAAGGCCTCTCTTGGGAACTGGGCTAGAGGTTGTTAGTGCTATAGTCTGGAAAAGGAGGCTGGGGTGGGCTGGAGAGATGGCTCTGAGGTTAGGAACACTGGCTTCTCTTGCAGAGGACCTGGGTCCAGGTCGAGGTGCCGGCATAGCAGCTAACCACTGTAAGTCTAGCTCCAAGAGATCCAACACCCGCTCCTGGCCCCTGGGTGCACTGCATGCAGGGAAATGTTCATATACATAAAATAAGTCAATCTTGAAATACATATATTAAACATGCACAACAATGTGTATATGATGTGTTTATAACTGCATGTATGACTGTGTATATGACATGTGTGAGTATATGAGTATGTTTATATGATTATGTGTGTGCATCTGCATGCATGTATATGATTGTGTGTGTATGATTGTTCATATGTATATAATTATTTGTGATTGTGTGTATATGATTGCATGTATGTGTGTATGATTGTGTGTGTGCATGTGTGTTCGTACAGAAGTCTTAAGAGTTACCAGGAGACCAACAGAGGAGGTTAATGTGAGACAAGAATTTTTTCTGTTGGACGTGAATTTTTTTCTCTCTCTGTTTCTACTTCACTCCCACGTTGAGGTTTTGAGACACAATATCACACCATGTGGTCCATATCGTCCTCAAACTTGAGATCCTCCTGACTCAGCTTCCCAAAAGATGGGGTGACAGGTGAGGGCCACCACCCCTAAGCCAAAGCCTCTGAGAGCTCTCAGACCACCCTGCCCTCCCCTGGCTACCGTCTCAGCAGCTCCTGGGGGCACAGGTCCGCCATCGCCCCCTCATCGCTCCCGCTGTCGCTGCCGTCGCTCTCGGAGCTGCTGCTTTTCTCTGACTTCTTGTTCCTCTGCTTACTTTTGTGCTTGTGCTTCTTGTGTTTCTTTTTCTAGGAAAAAAGAAAATATAGACGCGGATTAAGACATGAGAGAAACAAACAGGGGCTTCCTTGGATGACTCAGCAAAACAAAGAAGCTGAGCAAGCAGGAGCTGGGGAGTGGCTCAGACGGCAAAGTTCTTGTTGACCAAGCTTGGCAAAGTTCTTGTTGACCAAGCTCGGGCACGGACTGTCCCAGCAGTGGCGAGTTCCAGGTTCAGTGAGAGACCCTATCTCAAATAGGTGGAGGGGGCTGGGAGCACTTGAGAGACAAAGGCAAGTAGAGCTCTGTGAGTTCAAGGCCAGCCTGGTCTACACAGTGAATTCTACAATAGCCAAGGCTACATTAAAAAACCCAGTCCAAAAAAACAAAAAAACCCACATCCAGCACACACACAAAAGGTGTCGATTGGTTGACTGTGATGCTTGATATGGACCCCTGGCCTTCAAATGCACATTTGAACTCACAAATTTTCAAACACACACATGCTAACCTAGGAGCATGAGGTAAGCTGCCAGTGGGGTTGGGGTTATTTTTTTTAATATTTATTTATTTATTTATTTATTTATTTATTTATTTATTATGTATACAATATTCTGTCTGCGTGTATGTCTGCAAGCCAGAAGAGGGCACCAGACGTCATTACAGATGGTTGTGAGCCACCATGTGGTTGCTGGGATTGAACTCAGGACCTTTGGAAGAGCAGGCAATGCTCTTAACCACTGAGCCATCTCTCTAGCCCCTGGGGTTATTGTTTAGTGTAGAATATTTGCCTAGAACCCACCAGTGAGGGGCTGGCAGCATAGCTCAGTAGGTAAAGGCTTAGAATTCCCCTGAGAAGGGCTGGGAGCTGGGCTCAAAGGTAGAACTCTGTCATATAAAATGGCCTGGGCTGAAAAGAAAGAGAAAAAAAAAAAACCAACTATACCAGGCATGTGTTTGGTTGCTGGAAAACAAAATGTTTTTTTTTATTTAAAACTTTTAAAAAACTTAAAATTCTCCTCTGGAGTGCACTTTGTCCTAATGGTGACAGTCAGACACTAACAGCTGTGACTGTTAGTTAAACTGCACATGCTGGTCTCCCCAACACGTCCACAAAGGACACAGCAGAATCACAGAGATGCAGGCGGGATCCTTGTGACTCCACCTCCATCACGGAAGAGCAGGGGTAAGAACACATGGGTTTGGTTTCCAACACTGCATGAATTTTCCTTCCGTGTGGTACGGCTTCTCACTGACTGTACTCTGGACTGGGCCGCACAGGTACCCGCCATGCACCAACCAGACTGTAGGTTATGAGACATAAGGAGCACATGGATGACAAGAGAGGGGATGTGATAGGGAATCCATTGCCCTTCCTTCTTCTCAAGTTTCCTTCCCTTCAAATGACCACTAAGGACCAAGAGCTCAGTCCTTAGTAACAATGAGGTGGCTGGGAGCAGTGTTATTATTTAATGTCTAGAATAAAGTACCTCAAATCCTTTTTTAATGTCTTTTTTTCCTTTATTTTTACGTATATGGGTGTTCTGCCTGTGTATATGTCGGTGCAACGCATGTATGTCGTGCCAGCAGAGGCCAGAGGAGGGCATCAGATCCCCTGGAACTGGAGCTATAGTTGTGAGCCATCCTGAGGGTGCCAGAACACAAACTTTGGTCCTCTGCATAGGCAGCCGGTATGCTTACCACTGGGCATCTCTACCTACCTACATATCTATCTCTCTATATCCATCCATCCATCCATCCATCCATCCACTTTTTAGTCTTTAGTATTTATAATTTTCTGCTCTAAAACAAAAAAACAAGGTTTCTGAAAAAATAAAGAGTTAGCCCTGGATGTGAACAAGTCTGTCAAGGCACCGAGGGACCATGTCCCTCCTGGGCCAGGAGCTGCTCTGGGCGGCTCAGGACACTCCCACATGTCTCTGTGCGCTCAGGAGGGAGGCACTCACCTTCTCTTTCTTTCGTCTGTGCTCTTTCTTGGTCTTGTGTTTTTCTTTGCTCTTCTTAGGTTTCTCTTTTTGAGGTGTCTCAAGTTTCTGACGAGTATCTGGGGGTGTAATGAACACGTGAGCAGCAGGGAGAACGTGAAGATTACCATTACAAGGCTCTGCAGTTTTCTATCCACACTGTCAGTCAGATATTTCAAAATTTTACCTCCCGGCAGGGCAATGGTGGCACACGCCTTTAATCCCAGCACTCGGGAGGCAGAGGCAGGCGGATCTCTGTGAGTTCAAGACCAGCCTGCTCTACAGAGCTAGTTCCAGGACAGGCTCCAAAGCCACAGAGAAACCCTGTCTTGAAAAACCAAAAAAAAAAAAAAAAAATTTACCTCCCCAGGATTTTTTTTTTTAATCCTACTTTTTGAAAATCCTATCCCCGAAGTAACCCATGGACCAAGTTATTCTTCACTGTAAAATGGATGGCAAGGGCATTCTGGGAAATGTGCCTAAAAAGCCTCAGAGCACTTCAGCCAGCAAGTACTAACATTAACCTGGACCAAAGATCCGTGGACCAAAGCCAAGAGAAACACACTTGCTGGCATTCTTTGAAAGTTGGGGTCGACAGTCGCGCCAGTATCTAGGTGGGAATACCACAGGAAGCTTCGTGGTGGGCAGTGGAATCATGGGCCACTTATCTAAGTGGGCCACGCTAGCATACTTGCTAGCCTGGCCTTCAGAGCCACGGCAGAAACCTTGTCTGAACACTTTCACAGGGATGTTAGCATGTGACCCCTGCTAACAGAAGCTGCTAAAGACGCTGGGGAGGAGGGCTGGCCTTGTCTACAGCCGAATGAACAGGCTGATTTTATTTGCTCTGTTAGCCAAAGTCCAACAGAACCAGAAATACTCTTCTGTCCACAGTGCCCCATCCATCATCTTTTTTTTTTTTTTTTTTTTTTTTGAGACAAGGTCTCACTTGTAGCCCTGGCTGTCCTGGAACTCTGTAGACCAGGCTGGCCTTGAACTCACAGCGATCCACCTGCCTCTGCCTCCCAAGTGTTGGAAGTAAAGGTACTGACTCTTCCTTTCCAAAAGTGACTTTTTTATTTTTAAGGCAGGGGCTGACTAGCCTCCAACTTGTGATCCTCCTGCCTCAGTGTCGCGAGTGCTGGGGTTATAGCACCATATCAGCCCTGTAAAATGACAACACTTAAGATTCTTCCAACATCTCCAGGCTGAGAAGACAAGACAATGTTGAGCTTCGATACTTAAAGAAACAACCGTGGCTCAGGCACTCGGTGGGGGCACTGAGTGTCCATGGTGATTACAATCGGAAACACATGTGAACACTTGGTGTGGAGTCAGAGGGACGGGTCGGGGGACATTATTGGCGCTGTTTCTTTGCAGGGGCGGCACATGGGGCCTGGACTCACTGGGGCAGAAGACGGGAGGCAGCCGCGGTCCGAACTCTTCTCGCTCATCCATCTGTACCTTCTGGATGGGGAAGGGCACTGCGGGCGCACAGGGCTCTGGCTCAGCAGCTGAGGAAGAGCAGTGTATTAGTTTCATCCCTACCAGCGCTAATGCATTTGAGTATTGGCACCTTTGGACACTGCACTTTGTTCGCTCTGCTGAAACAGCCTGTGTGCCGCACACAGTGACGGACAGTGGAGGCCACCTCTGCCTGTGGACACTGGAGCTGGGAGGTCAGAATACGAGGCCACACAGAACCAAGAGTGTGGCAGGTTGTCCACAGGAAGCCACTGTAGCTAGGGACATGAACTCCAGATCTTTTTTTTTTTTTCTTGAGGCAATCTTACGTAGCCCAGGTTAATCTTGAACTCGCTATGTAGCTGAGGATAGTAGCCTCCTGTCTATACACCAGTTCTGGGCTGTGTACAATCTATGGGATGCTGGGGGCTGAACCTAAGCCCGTGTGTGTGTGTGTGTGTGTGTGTGTGTGTGTGTGTGTGTGTGTGTGTGTGTGTGTGGTAGGTAGGCACTTTGCTGCCACATGGCTACACTGTTACTTTTTAACATTTTTGTTGAAAGAGGGTCTCACTGTATAGTGCTGGCTGTCCTGGAACTCACTACACAGACAAAACTGTCCTTGAACTTTTAGAGATCCATCTGCCTCTGTCCCGAGTGCTGGGGTTTAAGGTGTGTGCCACCACACCCAGCCTACTTTTAAACTTTTAGATTTCGAGTACTCACTTCATACTTAAAAACAATAAGAGTTTATTTACAGGAAAAAAGAAACCAATATTGCAATCATCTAAAAATAAACATTGTATCATATCCCTGTGTGACTTCCTAGTCAAGGGCCTTCAGGATATACTCAGGTGTATCAGGGCAGACAGAACCTCCGGAGATGCAGATGGGAAACCACCCATGGCTTCAGCATCCCAAAGTCTCCTACTTCAGATGGCCTTTTATTTTTTTTTGTCTGGAGTGCTCAAGACAATGCACAGAACAAGCAGGCCAGTTTTCTGGGCAAGTGTGGAAACAAGAAATGAAAGCAGACCCTCTTACCAAGGGTTAGTATGTCAGGTCATACCCGCTTGAGCCAACCAACACCTACCACATCCCATAGACAGCGGAACCTAAACATCCTTGTATGCCTTGGGACCAGATGTTTTCCCAGAACTCTAGCACTCCCTCGGCAACCAAGGAGAAAGAGAAAGAATCCAGGATCTTGCCCAAGCTAGATATTGAGCTCTACACACAACCCTTTAAAAAAAAAAAAAAAAGGAAAACGTTTTTAAAAGAAAAATTGTACTTTTCAATTCTTCTTAACTAGGCTAAGTTGGGAAAACAACGTCAAACACAACTATCTTGAAAGCATACATCAGCGATGTGAACTGATTTTAAAAAGAGCCAGTGCCCAAGACTCCGCTCATGCAAATTAAAATATGATGAGAGGGATGGAGATGGAGGGATGCTGGAGAGAAGGCTCAGTCCCCAAAATGATTGCCACCCAAGCATGAGCCCAGAACCCACAAAAAAAGTCCGGTGCGATGGCATACACTTGTAATTTCAGAGCTAGGATCTTGGGGCTTGATAGCCGATGAGCCCCAGGTACCCATGAGACCTAATCTCAAAAAGCAAAGTAGTTGTTTATGGAGGCATGACACCCAAAAAGCAAGGCTCAGGAGGTACACTTACGACTGATCTCTGGCCCCAGTGTGCATGCACACACACAGGCACACCTGTACACATTAACACACACATACACATGCACACAGATACAAATGCACAGTATCTGTGTGTGCGCACGCGTGTGTATTATGAGGTATCACTGATTACTAACTGTCAATTGTCCTAGTTTCAGGCTGCAAAGCCAAATGTGGTACAAACCTGTAGTCCTAAGACCTGGAGGCGGAGAAAGGAGATCAGCGGTTTCAGCCCGGGCTCAGAAGGTTTAAGGCCAGACGGGGCTTCCTGCCAGCCTGTCTCACCACACACAAACAAGACTGCACCTCAACCTCTCAGTGCCCCAGTCAGGGAGGTGACCGTACCATGCGTCACAGGGGTCTCCCCAGCAGCAGCCTCCTGGGAACTTTTAAAGCTGGCCTCCTCAGTGTGCTCTTGATTGTCTTCACTGTCGTCTGGCTCCTCCTCTGAGGATGAAGACTGTTCATCAGAAGAACTGGCAAAGATGGCCTTGAATATATCCATGGAAGGGCGGCTACGTTCCCCTTCCATCTGCGTATCCACACCTTTGTCTACTGTCTGCATTAACAGAGAAATAAGAGTCAGGAATAAAGGAACTCAATGCCTTGAAACACACAGGCACACACGAATACACAGTTAAGATCGGCCTTAGGGGGATGGACAGATGGCTCAGTGGTTAAGAGCACTGGCTCTTCTAGAGAACCTGGTTCGATTTCCAGCACCCACATGACAGCTCACATCAGCCTGTCCACTCTATCCAAGGATCAGACGTCCTCTTCTGGCCTCAGCAGGTCCTGCATGCACATGATACACAGGTGTGCATGCAGGCAAAACACTCATACACATTTTTAAAAAACGGTGTAGGATATCCACTACCACTGCCTAACTGAACATGTCACATTTCCCTCTCTCTGTGGGGCTGGTCTAGAATACGCTCAGGAAGCATAAGCGGCTGAGGACCTTTCTGCAGACTGGCCATTAACAGACCTATGGAGGACCCAGACAGATGAAGCTGAGATAATGCCTCTGCGTGGTCTTAAGACTCCATCCATGACTTTGATGTGCAATATTAAATTAATCAAGAAACCAGCTGAAGTGGTACAACCTGCAGTCCCAGCACTGGGGAGACAGAGGCAGGGGGATTGCACTTTGAAGCTAGCCTGAGCTTCAGAGTGCAATTCTGTCTCAGAAAAGCAAATAAAAGCCATGTGGAAAATGTTTAAGAGAAATCTGGAGACTCCTCTCTCTCCACACAGCAAGAAGGAAGCCAGGACATGGGTTAAATTGGCCACACACCTCCTTGGCAATTGCTGAGGGCCCTTCCTAAATAAGGCTGAGAGATGAGCACTGAGGCCGACAGAAGGAAGAGGCGGTGACTTTGTATGAGCCTGATTCTGTAAGCAAAGAGCAGAGGAGTGAAGGAGGCAGTCGGTTCTCACACAGCCTGTCATGAGGATAACACGAGTCTGCCTCACACTGCGTAGGGGGCCCAGCCCAGCGTGGGTTTTGCCAGTCCCTCGTTTTGGGCCTGGACTGTGTAAGAGCAGCGGGCGCAGAGCACGGAGCAGCGGAAAAGCCAGGATGCTTATTCTCTCTGCTCCTGACGGCGGGATGACGCACGTGACTCATGGCTTGAGTTCCCCACCCTCAACAGTGTTCTGTGACCTGGAAGTGTCACCAAATAAACCCTTTCCTCCTCTCTGCTGCCTTTTGTCAGGGATTTGTCACAGCAACAGAAATGAGACCAGAGCGGACTGTGGACAACCAAGGAGACCTGAGTGGACTATGGACAACCGAGGAGACCAGGGAGGGCTGTGAACAACCAAGGAGACCAGAGCGGGCTGTGGACAACCAAGGAAACTGCAGCGTGAGAAACAGATACTGAAAAGACAAACGTGCTGGCTTTACCGGACTTTAGGTTTTTTTTGTTGTTGTTTTTTGTTGTTGTTGTTGTTGTTGTTGTTTTGAGACAGGGTCTATATATCCCTGGATGACCTGGAACTCTCTGTGTAGATCAGACTGGCCTCAAACTCAAGGAGATCTGCTTGCCTCTGCCTACTGAGTGCTGGGATTAAAGGCGTGCGAAACCACACCTGGCTTCATATTTCTTTAAGTAGTTGTTATAACTATGCTCCAAGAACAAGGTCAAATAAATGAAAAGATTTCATTTAAAGTCTTAGCAAAAAATTAAAGGAAAAATGGATATTTTAGAGGTAGAAAATATAAGAATCAAAAAAAATTTAATCCGTTGCAGAGCTGACTGCAGAGGCATGTGCTTACGGTCTCATCTACTGGGAGCATGGGGCTGGAGAACTGGGGGAGCCCAGGCGCTACAAGCCATCTGGGCAACACAGCAAAACCCTACAGCCAATAACTGAAACAAACAAAACTCATTATCTGTATTCAAGTAGAATGGAGACACCACCGGAAAGTCTACGGAGTTGAAAACAGTTCAACAAAAATGCACCGCTTTGAATGAAGGAGAGAAAAAAAGAGAGATTACAAAAATAAACAGAAACTTGTAGGATAATATCCAAAGACCTTAATGATCCTGTCATTAGAATCCCAGGACAGACTGCCCTGGTTTGACTGTGAAACACCCCTGTAGGTGTTCAATGCTGGGTCCCCACCTGTGATGGTTTGAAAGAAAACGGGCCCCAAAGGGAGTGGCACTATTAGGGGAAGTGTGTGACTGTGGAGGTGGGCTTTGAGGGTTCATATGTGCTCAGGCCACACCCAGTGAGACAGACCACTTTCTGTTGTCCGCGGCTCAAGATGTAGAACTCTCAGTTCCTTCTCCAGCACCACGTCTGCTTGCACCCTGTCATGTCTCACCATGAAGATAACAGACTGAACCTCTGAACTGCAAGTCCCATGATTAAATGTTTTCCTTTATGAAAAAAGGTATAGAAACTATACATATGATAATTGTACAACTAACTCAAAAAATCAATAATTATGTTAATATAAATATTTAAAATATAAGATTATCAAAAGCATTTTAACTAACACCCAAGGACATGCTATTTATAAGAAATCCACTTTAAATATAATGATATCGATGGGTTAAAGGTGAAAAGATTGAGCTGGGCATGGTAATCACATGCCTGTCATCCCAGCACTTGGAAGTTGGAGCAGGAAGCTGAAGAGTTCAGGGCCGGGCTGTCTACACAGTAAGACCTTGTCTCAAAAGGGCAAAGCAGGCTGGTGAGATGGTTCAGAGAACAAAGGTGCTTGCTGCCCAGCCTGATGACCTGAGTTCAATCCCTGAACACGGTAGAAGGAGAGAACCCACTCTCATAGGCTGTGCTCTGACCCACATTGATGTGGGATTCCCCTCTGTACGCTGTGAATACCACTGGTTAATAAAGAAACTGTTTTGAGCCTATAGCAGAGCAGGGCAGAACAGAGGCAGGCGGGGAAAACTAAACTGAATGCTGGGAGAAGGAAGGTGGAGTTGAGAGAAGACATAGAGCCTCTGCCAGAGACAGACATGCTAAAACCTTGCCGGTAGCCCATGAGCCTCATGGTAAAATATAAAATAATGGAGATGGATTAATTCTAGATGTAAGAGATGACTAGTAATATGCTTAAGTAATTGGCCAAGCAGTGATTTAATTAATACAGTTTCTGTGTGATTATTTCAAGTCTGAGCTGCCGGGTGATCAGGAAACAAACAAGCAAGCTCCTTACAACACCACATATGTGCAAACAGTAAAGTAAACAAAATAAGGGAACCCAGGGACATCTTCGACACAAAAATGACTTCTTAGCATTTAGAAAGTTGTATCTTCTCATATGAATACATTAAGTCTGGTCTCGATGGTTTATGCTAAGTGAGTGCTGCTCTGGCCAGAGGAAGCATGGAGCCTCTTCTCGAATAGTCAGAGCTACGATTGTGTCGTATAAGTCCAGTGGGCACAAGTCAGGTACACCCCAGAGGCACATCCATCTAAGCAAAGCTGATCTGGAAACACGTGTCCTCAGCTACTGACACAGCTGCCTATGGTCTCCTTCACACTCACTGCAGATCCGGGGAATTGCAGCGGAGGCTGTTCAGCTACTTAAGAGGATGAGTAGAGAACACATCACTTACAGAGGGGCCCAGGACACAGTCTCCAGCAGAGACAGCCGAGGCCCCATACCTTGTCTGGGCGTGGCTCTGGGGCCTGTTCCTCCTCCTTGTTTCCTGAGGTGCTGGGTTCTTGCCTCGGCGGGCCAACTTTTGATCTGGCCTGACTTAAAAACTCACTAATGGAATCTTCCTTTTTCTCCTGTTTGGATGTGTCCCATCGTGATGGCTTCCTGGATTCTAAAAGGCAGGAACCCGACAGAACACTGGGTTTAGTGAACAGAAGGCAAATTCTTCAAAGCTCAGAACTCGGGACATCTTGGGTGGGCCAGGCTCTGCATACAGCCCTGGGGATACAGCAGGCACGGGGAAGACCCAAGCTCTAAGGTTAAACATGGGCCTGGCCTGACTGACAGGTGCAGGAGGGGAAGTCCCTTGCACTTAGGGATTGCACTTAGGGCTGGACCACCCCCTACTCTGCCTTGAAGCCCTGAGGGGCTGAGACCGGGGTCAGAACCTAGGTCCCAAGGAGCTCTACTCACTGTCAGAACCCCGCTGCTGCTGCTGCTGCTGTGGGGCTTTTTCACTGGGTGCCGGGGCTGTGGGCGAAGGGGTTGGCTCTGGGAGCGTCAGGAAATTGAAGACTGAGTATTTGTCCCGCTTCACTCTGGGTAGGCCGACTAATGTTGAGCTGGGGTTGGGGTAAAAATGGGAAGAGATGGAATTTTAACAACAGCTGGGATGAAGCCCTCTTCCTGAGAGACTTGCTGTCTCTCATCAGCTCTCCAGTTAGGCCACAGGGGCTCAAGACATTTCTACTTCTCAAAGCAGTTCAGGAAGGCAGAACCCACGACTTCAGGGCCCTTGAGTTTTCTCTATTAGAGTAAGGACCACTGGGCATGGTGTTGCATGCCTTTAATCCCAGCATGCAAGAGGCAGAGGCAGGCGGATCTCTGAGAGTTCAAAGCCAGGTGGGGATACACAGTGAGACTTTGTCTTAAAAAGTCTTAGAAAAAAAAGCATAAGGACTAGAGCTTTTCACCTCAAAAATGGCTTTACACCAAAGGAAAGCGCCACAGCTGGAATCTACATTTTCCAGACAAGGTGTATTCTACAGTATATGCTTCCTGGGAATGTTTATATCAAAAAAGAAGCTAAACTTGGGTTTTTTAATTGATTTATTCATTTTATGTGTGTGAGTGCTTACCTACATGTATATATGTATGTATATCATACATATGCCTGGTGCCCATGGAGGTCAGAAGAGGGCATCAGATCCCCTGCAACTGGAGTTGCAGATGGTGTGAACCACCATGTGGCTGCTGGGAACCAAACCTGGTCCTCTGCAAGAACAGCTAGTGCTCTAAACCACTGAGTCATTTCTAAAGTTGTATAAAGAGAATTTAAATACAAGGCATTAGGCTGAAGAGGGGACCCAGCGGCAGAGAGTTTGCCTAGCATGTGCAGGGCCCAGTGTTTGATCCTAGCAGGCTGCCAAGCACGCAAAGAGAAAAGAAAACACAAATAATGTTGCTGTTGTTTGACATAGTCTCTCTATTACACAGACCACGCCTCTTCCTCCCAAGTGCTGGGATCAAAGGCAGGTACCACCATGTCCAGCTGTAAGTAACATTTTTAAAGTAAAATGTATGAGAATCATTTTTAAATGGCACAGAGCTAGGTGGTGGCGGCACACACCCTTAATCCTAGCCCTAGGGATACAGAGGTAGGTGGATCTCTGTGAGCTGGAGGCTAGCCTGATCTACAAAGTGAGTTCCAGAGTAGCCAGGGCTGTTACAGAGAAACTTTGTCCCAAAAGAAAGAAACAAACAAACAACAAAAACAAAACAAAAAACAAAAAGGGCACCTGAAGACATTAAGAAATGGAATAAAGTTTATCTTATTTTAGCAATGGATTTAGCGATCACAATATATGTGGCAAGCACAGACACATGAATCAAAATTAAAGGAGGGTGGAGCAATGGCTCAGCAGTTAAGAGCGCTTACTGCTCTTGCAGAGGACCTGGGCTGGGTTCCTACTACCTATGTCCTGTAACTCCAGCTCCAGGGGAGCTGACACTCTCTGTTGTCCACTTTGAGGCCTCACACACACACACACACACACAGAGATATATACACATCAACAAACACACACACACAATTTAAAGTTCAAGCAAATGTGCAAAATTTGCAACTCCCAATATTTAAAAGTTAAGTTCCTCTAGAAAAAGGGAATGCAAGAGTATAAAATGAGCCTTGACAGTGCTGCAAAGTGGCTCAGTGGTTAAGAGTATTGCTTGCCGGGCGGTGGCGGCGCACGCCTTTAATCCCAGCACTCGGGAGGCAGAGGCAGGCGGATCTCTGTGAGTTCGAGACCAGCCTGGTCTACAGAGCTAGTTCCAGGACAGGCTCCAAAGCCACAGAGAAACCCTGTCTCAAACAACCAAAAAAAAAAAAA